ATAGTATTAGATCCCTGGTTAAGCCCTCTTTAAATGCAGCAGTCTTGAATATTTTTTAAAACTAGTCTTGTTAAGAAAACATATGAATGAAACTTTACCTCTTTGATATGATGTGGTCAGAATGTACTGTACTTCTGAATTAGTACACATTTAGTCTATAGTATATTTAACCATAGGCATTTATTGCATTGGTAAAATGTGTCTATGTTCCAGAAGCATTAGGAAAAAGAGAAAAAACTCACACCCCACCCACTGGTCTGGATGATCTCCTATTTTTAACTTTTTAAATTTTGATATTCTTTCTTGATCTGGTATTCGCTTCTGATATCTGATATTCCTGCATCATGTGATAATGATTGGCAATTGGATTCTAGCACCTAAAAACCTGATTAATTGATTAATTAATTGATTAATTATTTCGATCAACAAGCAATGAAAAAACAATCAGCTCAGTTAATAATAATAATAATAATAATAATAATAATAATAATAATAATTGCTTACACTTATATAGCGCTTTTTCTGGACACTCCACTCAAAGCGCTTTACAGGTAATGGGGATCCCCTCCACCACCACCAACGTGCAGCATCCACCTGGATGATGCGACAGCAGCCATAGTGCGCCAGAACGCTCACCACACATCAGCTATCAGTGGGGAGGAGAGCAGAGTAATGAAGCCAATTCACAGAGTTAACCTTGAGCAGGACCTTCCAGGTCTCGCTGCTTCTGATTGGTAATGACCTGGCGCAACAGCAGTAAAAAAAAGCTATACGATTTTTATTTCCGCATTTTAAACATTTTTTTTATAAACACAGCTTGTAGGGGTCTCATAAATGGCCAAAGGTTTGTGATGGTTCTCGACAGTATCACATCTGTAATGCAGACATTAGGTGCCCGCCCTGTCTAAGTTTCTTCCATCATAATTTTTATGAATGTTCAATTTCCATTTCTTGCAATAAGATGATCCAGGTCCATTTTTCCCTGCTCTTCTGTGTTGAATGAGGGGAACCAAGCAGATTCACACTCGTCCCTTGGGATGTGGTGCTTTGTGCTGTGTGATTCAGTAATGGAAGAGCATAAGTATCAAGTGAAAGGCCATTACTCCCACTAATGTGACCTAGCCAGCTGCAGAGGTCAGAGGTCATTGTGATTAAGTTCTGCAGGAAGCCATAGTACATAATTAATGTGATTTATTTTAGTACAGCTGAAAGTTTTCTTTTCCTTCACCTGATGCTTTCGCTACTGCCTTTTTTGCTGCTGATCTAGTGATTTTGTTTAGCAAAAGATCCAAAGGATTGGTCTCAGCAGTACTAAGGACACTTCAGATCTCTATCTGATTAATCCATCCGTCCAACCATCCATTTTCCAACCACTTAGTCCTGTTCAGGAGCCATGGCAAGTAATGGGTCAAGGTAGGATACACCCTGGATGAGACTCCAGACCATCTCACGGCACACACAGACGCAGACATGCGCACACTCATGCCAGGGCCAGTTTTGCCAGAAGCCAGTGAACCCACCAGCCTGTCTCTGGACTGTGGGAGGAAACCAGAGCACTCAGTGGACAGCGGACACTCGCACCAAAAGGGGGAGATCATAAGACCTCCACACAGATAGCACCCCAGGTTCTGAACTCAGGGCCCCCCATTCTGCAGAGTAAGAACGCTAACCACTGTGCCACCATGCAGCCTCTATTTGGATTAACGAACATCTTAAAAGGTTTAGTAGGGGAAGGTCCAGGTTTGTCTATACTGTACGTGGTTTAGAGATGCATACATTGCGTTAAAGCAGTAACACAGTTAAGCTCCACACTCCCCACTTAAAGTAGTAACATAACTTTGTGAACTTCAATCAGTGTCAAAGAAAAATCATGAGATAAGAATCAGTTGAAAGCTGCTTTGAATGCTGTCAAAAATAGTAAACTGGGTTTTTTATATTCAATATATTTCTTGTTGAAGGTAATGTAAAAAGACAAACCAAAACAGAAAGTGTTCTTCAGTGTTTAACTTGACCATCACCTTCCAGATTATGGAAAAAATAATATGTAGGAAATCTGTATTTAAGTTAAAAATCCTCATCATGGGATTCTGTGATTTGCAGAAAGGGAAACTGAGCTCAGTCAAAACAGTGACTTTGATATATCCAGAAACAAATTTACTGCTAATGTACAGGACGTCCAGTTGTTTGATCAGTCCTGCTTTTTTTCTTGAAATTCAATTTGATACCCGAATTTGACTTTTTCCACTTGTAGTTCTTCATGTGAACCTGCTCTGGACACAGAAGACCAGTGAGAAAAAGGCCTCCCCCATTCTCCTCATGGGTAATTTAGCACTGACAGTAAACTAAACAGTATGTTTTTGGAGGGATGAAACCTGAGCGCCATGAGAGAAAGAAGAGTACACACATTAAGCACAGTGGCCATGCCACATTTAAGTACTGCTCATCCACTTGATGCTTAATGTAGTATCAGTCCTCCCTGTGGGAGTGTTGAACAAGCTTCCCAGCCATGTTGAGGCCAGTATACTGGCTTCCTTCAAAAAACAGCTGAATGAGAACCTGGGATCAATTAAAATACTAACTACCAGATGGGTTGAATGAGCTCCTCTCTTTTATTATATTCTGGTTCTCAGTATTTCTGTAACATAGCCTTTTCAGGTTTGGTTATACTGGCTTGGTGTAAAACTTTCCCTTCCCTTTCAGAAAGTGTTTGACTAATGCTGACCTTAACGGTTTTCAAAGCTATTAGGAAATCCAGGTATCAGTTGTGGTGAAGGTAGATTTCATAAGAAGAAATTGGAATAGAGTATATGCCTTATTCAAGAAAACAGAGAACTCCATTGCATATCGACAGTAAGTTAGAAGTGTTAGAAAGTGAAATTGAGAAGGACTTCACGATTGCTTGGAAACATAATTCTATTGAAACATACTGTAACTGTTAAAATACCTTAGTCTAGACATACTGAGAGATTTTTATTCATTTTGTCAACTCAGCACCGTTGTTTCTGGTGCATTTTTGTATCTACATGGAAGATACAAATATGCAATTTTTATTCTTTATTTTTATATAGGGAATTTCACTAAATGATTGTGTTAAAGCATTGAACACCAGAGAAAATTAAAAACAAAAATGATTAATTATAGTTCAAATGATTGACAGTTTGGACCTTTTCAGCAGATTTAACATGTCTTGAATGGATCTTGAAGTCCCATGCACTATTCTGATGTTAAACGATCTTTTGGAAAGAAGATGCTAATAGCACTGTGAAATTGAATAGGCTCATTTCACTGTTTGGTAAGGGTTATTCATTTAATAAAGAGAGCACATTACCCATGCAAAAACATCCCAGTCCCATGCAAATACAGTAGAACCATTGTGCATTCTAATGTTCATAGGTGTAATGAAAAATCACATAAAGCTGCATTCTTTGTTATGTCTGAGGTGTACAGTGCCAGTTTGTACCTACAGTACTTTCTTCAAGGAGTTATTTGATAATCGCTATAGAATGTGAAACTGTAAAAGAATTGTGGTGGGATGATGTCTTTTTTTCTACGGGAGGGCTATATTTGGAGCTAGCTGTGAAGAGCTGTATGCACGTGCTTGCCTGAGGTTTCAACCACATCCACTGAACATCAGAAATAGGCACTGATTTCACACCCTGTGCAAACAAGCCATTTGATTACTTGATTGCAGGAACAAAAAGGTAAAACAAAAACAAAATCCAATACCAAACACAGAACGTCTAGCAGCCTACTCCCCATCACCTGCTTATTATGAAGGCTTGAGCCCTTAGTTTATTCCTTGACCTTTGGAGATTTTACTAAAAAAGAAATCTTACTGTCCATTCCAGATCTTTGATTATTAGACAGTTATCATATTAGACACTTGATATGCTACAATGTCTATTATATAACGGAGGTCAGTACCAAATACAGCACTGTGAACCTAAACTGTCTCACCAATGCATTACACACATTTTGCCATTTTTTACTAAGTTTAATTTTTTAAGTGATCAACACATGTTTGTATTGCCATGTCTTTATCTGTAATTCTGATTTCCTTGTTTATCAGTCAGACACAGAGGGATTTTCAAAATGTTTTGCTTTGAGTGAAATTTGTTTTACAGAAAACGGTTTCAGTTTCACCATAACAGAAATCTGCAGATCTATCAAGAAAGAGCAAAAAATGAGACAAAAGGCAAATGCACCTCGCATTTAGTTCAGTTACAAAAAACAAACTTGCAATATCAACTTGGCAATTCCGTGGAATTAGAAAAAGTAACATTTGTTCTTAGGCAAAAAGTATAAAAACTGTTCTTGTTTAATATACTGTATATTATGTAATAGATAAAAATGAATGTATTTAAACAATATCAGATACCTCCTTACATATGCCCACAAGCTACATAAAAACTTTACGTTTTTATATTTAAAATATAAAACAGGGAATAATGCTAAACTTTATTTTTTAAAAGTAACTGAATTACTGGAATAGTTTTTAGATGAGTAGTGTTTTTGGACTGCAACTTCTAGGTTTGCTTGTACCGCCCAATATAATGTTGGTAAAATTGAACTAGAAAACAATAGTTCTACATTAAAACGACTTACAAAAAGAAGGGATGAGCTCTAAATAAATTTAAATTAACTGCAGAGTGGTTTAGTTTTCATGGAACGTCCTGGGACCAAGCCCTTTTCCTTAACTGCTGGACCACTGATGTTTGCAAATGTTTAAGCTATGAAAAGCAGGCTGTAATAGATAAATAAGTTAGTGTTTATGAAACCATTCCAAATGTGGCAGCCTTTTGTTAGATGGGCAGTGTGCAGGAATGTGTCGTCATACCATCCAAAGCTTGGCTATCTGCTGGTGTTCTTTAGCGATGTCACTGCAAGAGCAGACAGTTAAAGCTGACCTGCTCAGTACAAAAGACTCCCAGTCTTCTGGATATAATTATTGATTGTACTGTAATAACAATTTGATTTTACAAAAATGAACCACACCTTTATAAAGTGAGCACATTTGAAATCATGGTTTATCTTGCCCAAAGCCTAAGAATACAGTTCCAGATTTAGAATGCAGGCCTTGTGCATGTGAAAATTCTACGGTCCCACCCAAGGCGTGTGAGACTATGCTTATAGTGCAGTGTTCATCACATCATCCAAGAATGCCACAAGACACACAACCTCCACCAGTGCTGCTGTTCTACATTGGGACAAAAGACATGCAACAGTGCCAACTAAACATCTTATAATAATTGATGCAGAATCAAATTTTATTTAGAAGGACAGTACAAGACCAGTCTTCATAACCTTTGTCAAAGCCTTGGAATGAACATGCTTAACAAAACCAGGGACATGTAAATGATCTGATTCCATGCAGTAACAAAGATAGTCAGGCTGTTTGCTTCTTGATGTAAAGCTCCAGCAGCTTTTTGAAAGGTAAGGTAATATTTTGCCTTCTTCAAACTGTGTTTTAAGACCAACATTTTAACTTACCTCTTCGTAAGTTAAAATTTGTGTGTTTCTGTTTTGTTATTAAGGTGAACATTTGTACTTTACCTACAAACTTACAGGCCTTGTTCTTACCAGGCTGTAAGAAGCATTACATACTGTATTTAACCTGGGTTGTATGGAGCTTTGAGTGTACTTCTGTATGTGAAATTCATTTGCCGTTTTTTAGTTACAGCATTTTTGTGCATCTTCTTCTTGCTGTAAAGGAAATTTACAGCTGAATTATGGTACAGGTAGAAATATCTCTAATTTCCTTCCTTACTCTTAAAAGGTATTTTAGGTTGACTAAAAACAGGTTTAATGTGTGTCAAACCTTGCATGCCTAAATATATTGTATATTCAAAAGCAGTAAAGATCTTCTTGTTGAAGGAAGTAGTATCAATAATTTTTAAATAAGCCAATTTACCCCCTTCTCATCTGAAGTGAAATGTATTCTTTAGCCAACCACAAGATTATTGGCCATGAATGACAGAATTAAGCAATCAGAATAAACTTCTGTAGAAAAATCTTAATTTATTCAAATAAGGCTTATCTATAGCTAGTAGTTGTCTTAAGATCTCAATCATGGTAATACTAGTTATTTCTAATAAATATGATAAAATTATAGTGGAACAGTTGTGTGCCATTTAGCACCTCTGCCTTTCAGCTCCAGGTTCCTTGGCTTGATTTTGGCATGTGGCTATGGGTAGGGGTATGATTCTGTACTGATGCTAGTTGTGGTTATTTTTAATGGATCTTATAACAAAGGTTCAATCAGACTGAGCTGTCAGAAATTCACAATCACTGTTGATGTCATTTCCTCTCCTAAAACATAATAAATACTATATATTTTCCCCTTCTCTTCTTTACATTCGTCTTTTGCATCCTACCTCGACCCCATCTCCACCTCTGCAGCTGCCTCTTGGTCACTCTTCATGGGGGTCCTAGTCTCTTCATCCTCTGGCCAGGAGGTTAGCCCTCAGCCAAGCAGGTTAAGCCAAATTTTGACTAAAACGCTGCATAATCCTTTCAGTACATCTAATTCTTGGTTGTTGTTGTTATTCCTAGTGCATAATAATGAATTGTAAAAGGTGTCCCTTATAACATTGTTTAATATTATTAACAGTAAATTATTTAACCTTAATGCAAATTGACATGTTTGGCGGACCTCAGTGATTGAAGGGAACTTGTATATGGAGGCAGTGGAAGCAGCGAGCGTCACTAGTTTTCCTTATATTCCACTGCATGATGAACTAGTGCTTGATATTAGAACATACTGTACAGAGGGAATGAGTGGCACAACCAGACACGGTTTGCTACCCATTGCAGAAAACTATGATCTATACGATTCAGGCTAAGTAGTGCTGCCAAAACTATCTTGGGACAATCTAATAATAAAATGCCATAAAAAGAGTATCGAACAAGTGCAGGAGAGAATAACGGCAGTTGAGACAGATAATAGTAACCTTTAACATACAGTACGTTCCACCCTACTTACAGAAACTGAATCCACACATTTATCAAACGCAGACTACACTCCAGTTTTGAAGAAGGTGTCTTCTTTGTCTTGCAGCACAATGGCCGAATATAAGGTTAAGACTGCGAAACACGTCAACAAGTCACCTCTGCGGCCAGCCAGCGAGCACTCGAAGGACAGGGCGCAGAAACGGCTGTCTTCAGAGTCGAACGGCACGAGCGACGGGGCCACGGCCGAGCTGACGGCGCTGGAAGAGTCCTTCAGGAGGTTTGCGATTCACGGGGACACCCGCGCGACCGGGAAGGAAATGCATGGGAAGAACTGGTCAAAGCTGTGCAAAGACTGCGGGGTGATAGATGGCAAGAACATCACGCTGACAGACGTCGACATCGTCTTCAGCAAAGTCAAGTACGTGGTATTGCCTCCTCTCCGACAAGCGTCTCTTTGAAATGTGGAGATGGAAAGAATTTGAAAGCTCAGGGTAGAATTTAGCGTTGCATGTTTTGTGCAGTTGTCCACTCTACTCCCGTTACACGACAGAAAAAAGTCAGGATTTTCTTGGGTGAGGCCACTTGACATCTTCTCATTTGTAAGCTACAGTATGTATTGAGTTTGGTACAAGTTTGGTGGCAAGTATCTTATTAATCCAAGGATTTGATACAGTTATTTCTTGAAGAAAGCCAGGGTATCAGCTTCAACAACATGTCTAGGTAGCTTGTTCTAGACCGTCACAACTCTTTGAGTAAAGAAGAGCCTCATATTCTTGGTTTGAAATATCCTTCCACATTGTTTCCACCTATGTCTTCTGGTTCCTGTTTCACTATTCATTCTGAAGACGTCCACTACATTGACTTTGTCAAGAAGATTTTGAATAGTAAAGGTCCCTTTGTAATGTTTGCATAGTAACTAAAATTAATACAGTAGTTAAGTTTTGTTGGATCTCATTTGGAGGTGGGCAAAGTTCAGCAAGTGCAGATAGCAACCTATTTCTAAATTTGTTTGGAAAAATATAAAAAATCAAGCACTGGCATATTTAGAACACAGAAATGTCAATGCTAATCTGAATATATTCTTTTTCAGTCATCACTGAGTAGTATGAATACATATTATTTGTAAAGGTTTAAGGTAGCTGATTTGCACAGACAGCAGACCATTCTCCCTTTATTGCACCAGTGATTATTGCAAGTTTGGCGTGGATGCTGCACATAGGTGGTGGTGGAGGGGAGTCCCCATTACCTGTAAAGCGCTTTGAGTGGAGTGTCCAGAAAAGTGCTATATAAGTGTAAGCAATTATTATTATTAATTATAGAGTAAAATCAATCATTTGTTTCCCACTGTTAAACTTAAGTATGTTAAAATGTAAATAGTAAGATGCTACTGTATTACCTGAGTATTCATTTCTGTTTTTGTTCCATTCTCTTCTTGCATACAGTTATAGCAGAACATCCCTTCTAGACAGTTTACAGCTATTCAGGAATATCCTTTTGTAAAAGGAAGATTTGGAACCTGCTATTGTAATGCCTTTTTTATCTCACCTCCTGTAACTCACCTGATTGGTTACAGTAGCCTGTGGTTGCAGATGGGAATGCACAAAGCTTGTGAAAATATGTTTGATTTAGTATGCATGATGAAAAGCTGCCATATCTTGCAATGTTGCCCTTTGCCACATGCAAGGCAGCTGACACACTTCTGTGGGTGTTACCAGTGTCTCAAGGCTGTTGGGTTCCAGCACATTATTGACACAAGATCTTCTGGAGTACCAGGAAGAGTGTCGTAGGGAAACATTTTCACATGGATTTGCTAAGGATGGCCCAAATTAGCTCAGCCAAGTCAAATAGTCTTGCCAGGTACAGGGACATGTGGTCTCACAACCATCGTCTGTGTAAATATCGCAGTAAACCTGATTTGCAAGTTTTTGTGTAGTGAACCCTACTTATGCTTCAGAGTAAAAAGGTGTTCTTTCCAAACGTAGGTATCCATGTATGAAGGTCTAGTCTTTGTGTACTTGTCTGTACTCTATTGTCCACAAACAACATAGATCAAAAATCTCTTTACAAAACAAACACCATTCTGTTAAAAACAGCTACTGCAGAAGTTAATGTTTATATGTTCCACCATGTTTTCAACATTTTAAAGCTGCTGTAATAATTGAAATCTGATTTATACATTGTACTTTCTGGAACAGACATTTTACCTAATCTGTGTTCATATCTTCCCAACATGCACTGAAAATGTGTTTTAGAACATTAAATCCAGTATTTAACACAAACAAACACAGCTAACTGCCATCAGCAGCAGATCAAATATTGCAGCTGGAGTGAGGATTTAAGATATGGAGTGCTGCTGAGAGAAAAAACTTTAAACGAACAAGCTACACTAGTTTGTGACATGGTCTGATACAACCGCTGATACTAAGGTCATTGAAGAAGTTGATTTAATAATAAACCAAAATAGTTGTGTTTATGCTAGTGTGTTGCTATGACTGCAAGCAACTTCTGGGTAACACCAGACTTTGGAACCTTTGTAGACTTTTGTTTAGGTGATTTATCTCCATGGCAATGGACTGTTTGTTTTTTGTTGCTAAGTGCTTTTAACTTTAGATTTAAAATTAGATTGATGTTTCTCTTAGTTGCGTTTTCTTTGACAAATTCTTTATGAACTTTGAAAGACGTTTTGTGGCAGCTCATTGTTGGAAGGGATAAAATAAAATCGTCGTCAGTCATCTTTCTGGCCAACTTGTAGAGTTGCTGCAGGAGAAAAAAACAGTATGATCAGAAAAACCAGGGAAATATGGTTATTGGCTCATGAAACACCAGGTGATCCAGGTGAAGGAGATACCTGTAATAAACTTTGAAAATAATTTTATATCACATACACATATATTCAATGTGCTGTGCCTCATTCTGAGGTACAGGATACCTGTACTGGAAGATTATTAAAGTATTTCCTGGAGTATGTGACTTTATGATACTTCATGTTCTTCAGCAGGTGTAGTGTATTTGAGTAACCAACCAGATTCTTCATTGGATACAGTTCTGGCTATGGGGTTGACAAAAGTCGAGACACCCTCCAGCAGATGTTTTTCATATTTAAACTTAAAGCAGACATGGGCACAAGTAGTTTATTGTATAATGAGATTAGGAAGGTACAGTATGTAGCAAAGGTGATGTTATAATACTGGGAGATTTCAACTTTCCACATTTAAACTGAGATGTGAGGAAACACTCTGCGTCTTAATACAGTTTATAAAATTGGAGACTGGGTAAGATGCACTTTTTGATCCTAAATAGAATTTACAAAAAACGTTATTATTAAAGCACTGGGACACAATTTGTGAGAAACATGAAAAATCTTTAAACCTTGACTCTAAAACTAAGGTTTATAATTTTAGAAAAAACAGACTATGAATGAAGGAAGCAGAACTTGTAAGCCCTGAACTGGGAATTGAAGGATTCTGTTTAATAAAAAATAAAATAAAATAAAAAGGAGATTATTATATACAGATTTCTTATGATATAAAGATAGTCAGAGGAAGTCAGAGTTACAGATACAGCTGCAAAGAATATTGTAATAGAGTAAAAAAAATTAAACAAAGCATGTTTGTAGTACTGTAACAGTAAAAAGCTGAACCAAACTGCAAGATAATTAATAATAAAAGATAAGAACTTCTTTTATGCAACTTATTACAATTGAAAACATCAATAATCAATAATAACATCAGTATGTAACTAACTGACAGCGAGGGGCGAATCACCTTTATAGTGATAGTATTGTCCACAGTCAGACGTAAAGAAGTGGAAGATGTAACTCATAGATCCATAGCTAGAATATTTCAGCTATCATTACACCTAGAATGGGTGATGTACCCTACAGTAGGAGAACAGCAAATGTGACACGATTTCAAAAAACAGGAAAAAAACTGAACCAGGAAACCACAGACCAATCAGTCCTATGGGCACAACGAGAAGCATGTTTACAGAACAGTGGTATTTTAAGAGATAGCTATCATGAAGTTAGAGAGGGAAGGTCTTGTTTAACTGCATAGAAAATACTCAACTAGAAGAAGCTGACACAATTAAATCATACAGTAGGATATAATTGGACTTTCCAAAAATAATAATAAGGTCTCTGATTAAAACTTAAGAATCAAATTGAAAGTCTGAGGGATCCAAATTAATGTATGCACAGGGTTATAGAACTGTTTAAAAACAGGATACAGCGCTTTGCCATAAAGAGTAAAACGAAGAGTAAAAAAAAGAGTAATTGGACAGACGGATGTTTACCCCAGGAGTCTATTTTGAGGCCATTACTGTTCCTGATCTATATCAGCAATTCTGGTACAGCTAGCAAACTATTTACATTTGCAAATGATACAAAATAGAGGGAGTGGCAAACAGAAACAACAGTGAGAGTTTTACACAAATAAAAATAAAAAATCAGACTGGGCATCTTGACAGATGAAATTTAAAGTGAATGTGTACAAAGTGATCCACGCTGGAAAAAGGCAAATACACATCTTGCATGGGTGTTCAGAACAGAACGAATTTGGGTGTTGATGTATTTGTCTTCTGTATGTCCCCAGCACAAAAGTGTGCACAAGCATTAAAAATAAGCAAAATACTGGGAGTACATAGCAATACGTGTGGAATTTAAGTCCAGGAAAGTTATATTTGCTACTAGTTGAGTGGAGTGCTAATACTTTATTTAGAATATTGTGTTACAAGAATATTACAGCTTAAAGAAGAACAACTAGAATGATTTCTGATCTCCCAGATTGATCAGTCTAGAACAAAACAGAAGACTGGGATGACATTTGATCCAAGTGTACACAATCCTAAACGTATAGATAGGATCAACTCAGGGAATTATTTTACAGCCAATAACGAAGCTAAGTCACAATAGGAATCGAATAGGGAATTTGTTTAGGATAGAGAATAGGAAATACTTCTTCACACAAAGACATTCTAGCCTGGTGGTTGAGGTTGAAACTTGGGGCTCCTTCAAGAAGTGGCTCGACAGAAGCTTAGATGAATTGAGCTACTAAAGTGCCAAAGAGCAAAATGACAAGATTTATCGTGTTCTTATAACTTTAAACATGGCAGAATGTAATACAAAAAACTGCAGCAGTGTTATTTATGTAGATACAGGGAAATGGAGCTCTGTGTTTTTAAAAATGCTGTTTAAGAAGGGCTACATTATATAGCTTACGATACTTTTTTATTGAATTTTTATTTCAATACAAGTGAAAATTATTGTAAAAAAAGAAGCTTAACATTTTGTTTTTAGAATGTATGACTAAACGCTCAACTTTTAGAAATCAGTGCTTTTGTAGAGGAAAGCAAGCAGACTGAAAGTTGAAATCATTGCATGCAGTTATTTTAATGTGGAATAATGGACATGTTTATCATTTGATGCATTTCAGGAAGAAATCTTGCCGGACAATCACATTTGACCAGTTCAAAGAAGCACTGGGGGAACTTGCGAAGAAGCGCTTTAAAGACAAGTCTGGAGAGGATGCTGCTGAAGAGGTTTTTAAAATGATCGAAGGAAAATCCCCCATCATATCTGGTGTAACGGTGAGGTGTCTTTAAATTCCAAGTCACATTCTGTTGATTGATGCTTACATTCTTTCCATACAGACAGCAGGACAACACGTATTGTGATAACACTGTGATGGGTAAATAAATAGAAGAAAATATCATCATTTTAATTTAATTAATACATTTTTAATAATTTTAATTAGTATTTATTCATTTATTGTTATTCAGTTGCACAAAAAATTGGATAATCACTATTTTCAAGAAGGAAAAGTTACAGTGCAGTCCGTAAGTATTTGGACGGTGACACAATTTTTGTTTTAGCTCTGTACTCCAGCACATTGGATTTAAAATGAAACATTGACTATGAGTGCAGAGTGTCAGCTTTAATTTGAGGGTCTTTACGTCTTTATTGGGAGAACCATGAAGGAATCACTTTTTTATACATAGTCCTCCCATTTCAGGGGACCAAAAGTAATTGTATACATTAACATAATCTTAAATAAAAATGTCATGTTTAGTACTTGGTTGCAAACCCTTTGCAATCAATGACTGCCTGAAGTCTGCGACCCATAGACATCACCAGACACTGGGTATCTTCCCTGGTGATGCTCTGCCAGGCCTGTAATGCAGCCATTTTCAGTTCCTGCTTGTTTCGGGGACTTTTTGCCTTCAGTCTTGTCTTCAGTACGTGAAATGCATGCTCAGTGGAATTCAGGTCAGGTAACTGACTGGGCCAGTTGAGAACAGATTTTTCAACCTCATGATGGCCTGCTTTACTGGCATTGACACTTCATTGGTCCCCATGTTGCCAACTGTTCAATTACTTTTGGTCCCCTAAAATGGGAGGACTATGTATAAAAAGGGCTGTGATTCCTATATGGTTCACCCAATATAGACATAAATACCCTTGAAATAAAGGTGACATTCTGCACTTTAACCTCATAGTCATTTCAAATACAATGTGCTGGAGTACAGAGCCCAAACAACACAAATTGTGTCACTTTCTAAATACTTACGGACTGCACTGTATGTGAAAACTTGGCAAACAAGAAGGAAAAATGGTAGAATGTCTCTATATGAAATACCTCTATATTTTTAAGTTTAATGTATTTAATGGGCTCAAGAATACTTGAAGCAGCAAATATGCAACACAGGGATCTAGGCTTCCCCCTGGTGGATGCAGCCCTTAAGTGCAACTTTACTTAATTCAAAGAGGAAGACTGCAGAAAAGGTATGAACTGCTGCTGGAATCAGAATAAATGCTTCACTTATTTTTTTTATTTCAGATGAATAACAGTGTATTTGCACTTTGACTCTGTTCCAGATCATTTCTGGAATTTGTTCTTTCATTTTCTACATTATTTTTTTTTTATGTGAAGCTTGGTGGTTGTGGCAGGCACTCACAATTTCACATTAGAAAACATGAGATATACAATAGCATGCAAATCCTGTTTTCAAGATACATGTCCCTTGAGATCTGAAAAAAAAGATGAATATTTTGCAGAACGTTACAACCAAGTATGTTTTAGGGAATTCCTTATCTGCTTTCTTATTGTATTTTCATGTACAGGGTTTCAACTCTAGTGGTTTTCTAACTGCTTTCAATAAAGAGTGTCTCTTTCCCTGCATTGTTTTAAGATATGCTAAAAGCCTCTGCTTCAATTGCCAGATTGAATCAGAGCTGGTAAAAAAATTAAAGAAAATAAAGTTGAAAATGTCTTCCAAGCATTACTGCATATCAAAGGGCTCAGATCCCGTCTTCTGTAGGAACAACTGTCCACCACCTTTCGATTCCTAAAACATTTCCCCTCCTCTCTACTTTTGCCTTCTCACAGAAAGCTGTGGCTTCCCCTACTGTGAGCCGGCTGACAGACACATCCAGGTTCACTGGCTCCCACAAGGAAAGGTTTGACGAAACGGGCAAAGGGAAAGGAAAAGCAGGCCGCGTGGAGCTCGTGGACAAGTCCGGCTACGTCCCCGGGTATAAACACGCCGGCACTTATGATCAGAAGGTGAAAGGAGCAAAACAGATTTAATGCGACGAAAACCGCAACAGGGACGTAATCAAAGAGGATCGGGCTTTTATCTTCCCACTCGTGAACAAAAGCCCACGTAGTCGGTTGGGGCAAGAGACTTTCTGAGCTCTAGTGCTTTATCAAGCAGGAACTGGAATCAGTTTTACATCTGCATAAAAAAAGACATTTACAGCACACATTCCTCAAGATGACGATATTACAGCTTCAAAGTCAAAGCTGTAATTGGTCTGTTCATCTGTTCCATCTAGTGATGTGCTCACCATCTTTGGAAGAAACAAAAAAAAATAGTTTTGCTATTCTCCTGCTAGGACATGATGCCACGTATAAAAGAGCTGTGTGTGAAAAAGATGCTACATATTTGCACTTTGTAACTGCTTTTTCACATGTGAATACGTAACCCTTCAGCTATTCAGGTAATTTCTTATGGTAACGCTGAAGAAACTCAAAATAGTATAGTAAGGCTCAATGTTTAAGGCACTGAGGAAACATGTACCTTTTTTTGTTTCCTTGTCTTTCCCAGCCTGTTTTCTAACTTCTACGTACGGTGTGTGGTGTCTGTACACATTTGGTGTTTTCTTTTGAAATTATTCAATGTAATCGAAGACATCCAGGGACTCAGGGATACAAAACGTACAGTCCATGGTCTTCAGATTGAGCTATCATACTGGGGACAAAATAGCCCAAACTTTAATTAGGTCACTTATATAGTTGAACCTTTAAAGAGGCAAAATGTCTGTTGGTTCACATAATTCATTTAAAAAAAATCTACAGCAATTACCCTTTAGAAATTCTGATAAACAAAAATGTGTATTGTTCACGTTAACAAAGACCCTATCGATGATTTTTTTTGGTCTTAAAATTTGGTCTTAGATCGTCCACTTGCTGTGAACTTAATGAGAAAAAATATTGGTACTGTACCTTAATGTGATGTTTGAAAATGTTTATTTGGGAAAACAACACCAGCTACCATTAAAATAACTCTGTGTCACGCATGTATTGTATTGCCTTTAAGTGTATTTCTATTTTAATTTAATGTGGTGAACAAAACAAATTTTAGTCATTATAAACATTATATGGGCTTAAGTATTTTAACTTTTATTATTTAAACTTTAATTGACTGTTCTCTTCATGTATATATTTTAACATGATCAATTTAATTTAAAATGTAGACTTGACATTCTCTGCTTTGGTAAGGAATACCACACAGACTGTTTGCATTTTAATCTTATTTTCTTAATTTAAATCTTGTACAGAGGAAGGACTAGTTGTGGTCTTGAGCCCTTTGTGCACATCTGAGCGTGCAGTGGGGACTTTTCCGTTATGTCCAAATGGAAATGAGAGTTGAGATTTGTTTTTGGATATGTAGGCAGTAAAACACCTCCCCAGATATACTGTGTATATTGAAAGGACACAGACCATGCAGCTTCATTTCCTCCACCGAGGGTTTTCTGCGGTCAGTTTGTGTCCACAATGCGGCTCTGTCCACTGGTTTTCTGTGTGGTTGAAGACAAAAGCCCTCCAGCTGGGCCTGGTGGTATCCAACCCTGGGAGCAGGCTTCAGAGCATTATGGTTAATGGGAAGAAGGGCCATCGAGAGGAAATACCCACTCGGATCTCCCTGTTGAACTTAGTTGTACAGTACTGAAGGGTAAAATATCAAAAGGTGAAGAAGACTGCATATTCACTGCCTTCCAACAGCTGTGCTTCCTCTCTGCATGGATCAGTCACAGCAATGTTGGGTACCTTTAACTTATTCATTAAATCACTGCTGGTGTGTTTTTCTTTAGCAGAATATTCTTCATTTCGTTGAAGCTACATAGGCTTAAATTTTAAGAATTAAAGCATCTTAAGTATGGTTTCTTAAGTTTTTCTTTAATTACATGCGATATACTGCCGCTAACTGACTTAATTGTTTAGCTCTAAGGTGAACTCAGTTCTTAAGCACAACATTTCGGTAGTTTTCACATAATGCAATTCTTTTTACGAGTTCATCTTATTGTAAGCCTTCCTCATTCACAAGTTTTACTTTACAGTAATATGCAATTTGCATGATTAAATACTGCGAGTTTTTAACTGTGTTTATTCCATGAAAACTGAGTGATGTACACTTCCAAAATATATATTAGTATGCACTTCATAATATCTTTTGAGAGACAGTTTGAATCTTGGGTTCTGGGATCCTAATAGTTAGGCTACTTAGTGAATGTGTACAGTATATTTAATATAGGACATTCTTTATATGTACTTATTATATAAAATACATGTTATATGTATATCAGATCAAATCTGTTTTAATAACAAACCCAAAGCAATTCAGATTCAGCTTGCTTAGCTTCGGAAATCAGATGAAATCAGAAATTGATTCCTAATCTATAGTAAATTGGTGAGACACTACTATTTGACCCCTGAAAGCCATTGAAGATATGATGAAGTGCTTCCTTAAGTGTAATGTTTGCTGTGTTGATGTGGATATGTACAGAAATTGTAAAAAATCTAGCAGGTCATGTTTTTTTTCCTTAAAAGAAAGGAATCAACAGGGGATTAAAACATTAACATCATGGGATATTTTTTTAAGAAATCTATTTTTCCAGACATATTCCAGTACTATTCCTGGAGCAGTAGTTATTCAACTGAAGGTGAGGATGCACTGGCAAAAGTGCTCTATATGGATGGCTGTGGTTAAGACTAATAATACATTAAACCTACAGAGCTAGTGCATTTGCTGAACATCATCTTAATTAATTTGATATAATGTGTTCTTACATATTGATAAAAGCAAATTAAGATGTACTTTTTTTAAGACTAGTCTAACTTTTCCAAAAACATGAATTTTTTGCTAAGTGGTGCCCAAGTGCATGCAGATGTGTTCTTTGGTGCTGTACTTTATAATAAATGTAGATATGGAATACCTATACACTGTCTATTGTGTGAAATAGAAAGCAAAGTTACATGAACGTGAATGAAAGTCAATTACAGATTTTCATTTCAAAAACCATCTTTGTGACCTGAAAAAGGCAGCAGTGACTTTGTTCATCCACTCCATGTGATCGGGGTTTTGCTGTCCTTGTAATGAGAACACCTGCGTTCCTCGCGACACTTGCACTGCACTACGTTCCCAGCCAAGAAACATCGACTTCTTATTGATCTCAGTGGTTCTCACGCTTAATTACAATCTGGAATTGGAATTTTCTTTGAAAATCTGACTTTTCATCCATCCATTTTCTAACCACTTTATCCAATTCAGGGTTGTGGGGAAGACGGCGCCTATCCTGGCAAGCAACAGCGCAAGGTAGGATACATCCTGGACAGGGCGCCAGTCCATCGCAGGGCAGACACAGACAAAAACATGCACACAGTCACACCAGGCCCACACCAGTATGTTTTTGGACTGCGGTGGGGGGGGTGGGAGACTGGAGGAAAACTGAATGAATACAGGGTGAACATATAAACTCCACTTAGATAGAGAGCACCCCAGGAATCGAACCCAGGGCTCCAGCAGTGCAAATCTCCAGTGAGAAAGCAGAGATATAAATTTGTAAAATGGAGACGAATTAGGTTGGCACTTCAATTTTTTTCATTTACTGTTTTGAAGCATCAAGTAAATCAAAATAGAGACTTTAGACATTTTGTACCTAATTTATTCTACAATTCTTCCACATAGCGGAGACAAACAATTGTCAAAGGCAACAGCATATTTCTCAGTATCGATATATCAAAAGTTTAACGTGTAACTACAAACAAGTTTTCTTATAAAACAGTTATATGACAACAAATAAATACATTTTGAACTGCAGTGGACTACCTGTATTATTTACACAATAAAATAAGGTTTATATAACAAACTATATTTACAGCTAAAAGTAATGGTGTGCATGTGTTAGACTGACAGAGCGGTCTTTGTCTCAGCTGTGAGACTGGATACGCTACCCAGAATTTTTTTCAGCTCCTTATAGCTGAAGTGCAGCTGCTCAACCTCAGCCTTGTGACGGGATCGAGTGTCTTCCAGCTCTGCTAACAGACACTTGTTGGTTGAAACTAAGGATCTGAAATAAAACAAAATTAAGGACAGTCCAAAGAAAGGAACGGTTATTTCTGCAGCTTCTGTTACTAGCCAAATCAAATGTCCCTTTTCAGTTTTAACAATTTCACACTGCTTACCATTGCCCTCTTATAAATCTCAAAAGATACTTTATCAGAGAATACAGATGTAAGTGAACAACTGAATTTCTGTTGTGGCTCATCACTTTAAAATGACCCTGGCAAAACACGAATGGGGTTGCCCTCTCCGTAACTCTGGGACTGTGGGACTGTATTCTGTTCCTGAAACAAGATTGGCAATGTATGAGGGAGTCACCAGAACTGCGTACTGCGATGGTAGCAAACCCGCAGAGGATGGGTGAATTGCAAGTGGCACAGGCCAAATATTACTGCAACCTGCGCCATTGAAAAACATGGAGTCTGAGAGGACTATAATTTTATGACGTGTTACAAGACCAGTGCTTGAACAGAGTCCAGAGGGCATGCACACTGCGATCTAAAACCATTATTTAGTTATTTTAAAAACAATTAACAATTCTGACTGCAGCTACAGTAGGAACGTGGTTCTGATTGCATACCGGTGGCTTTCTTGCAACATCAATGCGATCTCCTGAACCCTTTCGAAGTGCTGTAACTTCTGTTTCAGCCCTTCAACCTCTCTCCTAAGGTTCTGATTGTTGTTCTGGTGCTCTGAAAAGAAGACAGAAAAAGTTCTTATAAAGTCCCTCTGTGCAAATCACTACAGCATTATATGTTATTCTTTATGTAACAACACCAATGACAGCCGAGAGTTTCTTTCATGTACTGTAATACATATTATATAATACATATCTAATATAAAACAGATTAGAAGTATTTCAGACCTTAGTATAACTCCTGTTCTATGAAAGCTGAAAAAAATCGGCTTCCAAGACAAAATGTGATGTGGCTGGCAACATAATCTGTATTTTAACAAGCTCATGATCCACTTTTCAAAACCAAGTATGTTTACTGCCTTGTATTGACTGATCTCAGCTCTATTTACTGGTGGTATTAATGCACAGGTGACATTGTTCTGGTTTTCAAATTCACTGTAGCAGAAGCATTTGACTTTGAACTTTGAATTGTACTGAATTGTAGATTTTTAGCAGGAAGTGTCAACCAAATTTTTACCCCAAACACTACATTACATATTTCTACAACAACCCTTTAAAAATAATAATATTATTTTTAATTGCTCACTTACATCTGTGTGCATGACCCTTAAAACTGAATGTAATACGTATGAAATAAAATACGAGAGAAAAACCTAAGGTACACAGGACTTTGACATGATACATCTTGAAATTTAGCACACAAGTGAGCTAATACAGGTAACAGGTAACAGGTAACCAAATTATGATCTTACCAACCACATTTAACCGTGTTTAACAGGGTTATACTATAGTTCTCTGCTACAAATCATCTTTGATTTAGGTACAAAACTTAAAGTGTTGTGTATAAGATTATGCTATTTTCAACTGTTCACATCCATTTCTGAATCAATGCAATAATTTTTAGTTTTAAAAATAATCCAAGAGGATTAAGATAATATACCATAATCGATATCTGAAACATTTTAGGCCAGATATACAGTATCTTTAAGGTGATGAAACAACTCTTCCTGGAACAACAATTTTCAAATACTGTACCATTTTTTCATTCTGCTAGCAGGAAGTGTCAACCATTTATTTTTACCCCAAAAACCACATTACATATTTCTATAACAACCCTGTTTAAATTAATATTTATAGGAACAGGTATGGGGGCAGATACATACCAAGAAGTTCAAACTTTGATTCATCGCAATGTTTACCGTTTAACAATTTTTGCTCCATTTTAATAAGCTGCTTGTGCAGGGACACATTCTCTTCCAAAGTGTCTTTTAATTGTTTATCCAATGTGTCCTGATAAAAACAAGCATAATTCAACAGACAGAAGGTCATAAAAGCAGGAAACAAGAGTGCGTCTCACAGAGTACTGATTGGTAAGCTCATAATATATTAGGTCTTAAACTATAATTATAGATCCAAAATAGATCAAAAAGACAATAGAACAGCATGTGTTATTCAGAGAAAACAATCTCCTTTTAATCACAGTGCCCGCCTAGGAAAAACAATGGGAAAGAGAACTGCATTGTGGGACAGGCAGTAGAGTTCAGTAGAGGCAGTAAGAGCAGGCCAATCTGGGTGAGAGAGGATAGACACTTAGGAGCTACAATGTCTAACCCCTGACACAAGGTACTACTGTACAATATGAAGGAGCTGGCTGATATAAACAGTCAGAATGCAGGATTGCTGGTATCAGTATGAGGTTATGCCGACCTTTATATTTGGTGAGACAGAACTGCAGTGGGTGGGTGTTAGCATGAGGCTATCATGTAGGGACAGAAGTGGAGACACCAAGGTGAAGCTCAGCATAATATCTAGAACAAAAACATCAGATCTTACAATAGTATTCCGTGCCTGGCTCAGCTGGGTAGTCAGGTTTTGTATCTTCAAGTGATATCCCTGCTCCTGTTGTTCTATCTGAGTAGACAGAGGTTGGTTGTCTTCTTTTACCTTCTTCATTTCATCTTCCAGTCCAGTGCTGTCTTGTTCCTTAGATGGCCCCAGTAGTGACAGAATCTGAACAGCTTTGGCTTTGATAAAATGATAAATATATGTATATTAATGATAAAAATAAGGCCACATAAAAGATCACAGAAGAAAACGGAGCACAATATGCACTTACTCAGGAAGTTTTCATTGCAGTGCAGAGACCCTTTACCATTCCAGAACTTATCCACTTGATCCAAAAGTAATTCCAAGGGTTCTGAATGCATTGTTTTTCTGACAACTGGAAGATGAACCTATTAAAAAATTACAGTGACATAAAAACCCACCAAAGAAAGAGACAGAAAAAACCTAGACGGGTGTGAATTTTAACTTACAGCACTTGCTGTCTAATAATATGATTTACTGGTGTGATACAGTACTTGAAAGCATGTACTCTTGCATGAAATACACAAAATAAAGAATATGCCATATCATAAAAAGTCATTAAATTCAAAGAACCTATACCTCTCTGGTTAATATTAAGTGGTTAATATTTTCTCCTCTGACTGTAGGTTGTAAGCAACATTTTTCCCTGGTCTCTCTGAAAATTATCTAACTGGAGGGTTTCTCTGCTACACAGCAGACTAAAAGCTGATTCAGTTGGCATAAGGTCAGGTGATAGCACTCAATCAATTTCCTCTTCAGAAGTTCAAGCTGTCGACTAGCTTTATGCATAAAGCCAAGTATCATTTCAACCAGCAGAAATGTGTGTATCACGGTACACTTGCTGTAAATTGCCATTGATCATGCAAAGTCTGACAGCCCCTGAAGGGTTAGAACAGGTCATGAAAATCACTGCCAAGATCGACATTTGCATCTGTAAATATATATACAGTACAGTAGGCTCATCGGCCTTTCCTCAGGTTGCTTCCTAAGAAAGCATATCTTACCACATATTGTGTTACTTGTTCAGTACTTGCTGCGCCCTCTGCAGAATGGCAGCTTTGTTCTGGTCCATGAGAAGACTGCAGAGGCGTTTTCTGACATGGTAATGAATCAGGTAAGCCCTCAACACTGGGGGTGGCACGTCTTCCCCTGTGGGCAGTCTTTCGGCTGCGAGAAGCAGCTGGAGATCGAGGAACGGCAGAGGTCACAGAGGAGGAAGGACGAGTTTTTGAGGAAGTCGTTGTCTTGTTTTCCATTCCAGGGCTGATTGGTCCTGCTTAACAAGAGAAGACTAACCTTGAACTATTGAAGTGAAATGACCTGCAGGCCATTAGGTTACCAGTTCTGCTGATAATTATAACTCAGTCATCTGAAATTTTAATCATAAAGGCAAAGTTACATTAGACTCCTCCGCCTCCTCAGGTTTATTGTTTTGTTGTGACCAATCATCACTGCAGCTTTACTAGACTTATGTTGCAGATTGGTAAATTCCATGTTGCTCTTTCTTCTTGTACTATATGTTTATTAACCCAAATGAGAATATTCTTTTCTTGTTTTATGGAATATTAGGTCCTGAATGACTGGGAAAGCAGCACTTATTACTTCACACTGTGTGGTATTTCGCACCTGGGTGTGGCGTGAAGTGTCCCTGGACTGTAACACTGTAGCCAGGCTTGGCCTTATCTTCAAATTCCCATTGACGGGCAGAATGGCTGTCCTTCGACTTGGGTTCTGCAAATGTCACCCTCATACCCTCACTTCCTTTTACACTGCTCAAAGGTGCACGTCTTGGAGAGGAAACAGTGGCCTGAGGCTGATCTGCAGGAACAGAATTTAACATTTTAGACAGGAATTCTCATAAGCAGATGTTATTATAGATGTTTTCTATTAGGGAAATCTACCACTTTTTATATCTGAAATAGTGGCTCAGGGTAAGAATTGTTCTGTTAGTGATGTGCAATCCATCCTAGGCAGCTAAGATAAAGCCTGTGACAAATGTCAAAGGATCACAGTTACATGGCCAGCAGAAACAGGAAATGTGAACATACAGTATAACAGACAAGTCTGACAATAACTGCAAGCATCAGAGATGTCCAGAATCTCCTTTGAAAGTGAACTGCATTTAAAACAGCATTTTATCACAAATTTATTTGGAATGAAAGAGAAAGCAGCACATTTCATTTCCTTAGAAAAAGTACTTATTAGTGGATCAAGGTACAGTATATTAGTAACTTAATTTTAGTTTGTTCAGAACGTTAGCTGCCTTATAAAGCCATTTCAGTTTGGTAGTAAATAAAATAATGCTTTTTATTTTGCCAGAATGTGGATTAGCATGAGTTAATGAATAACCTATTATTTGTTATCTTCCTGTTTGTGAGGAAAACATGTGACTATGTTTCTTTTGAAAAGTGGACTATTTAAGATTATAAGATTATAATATAAACATGCAAACGTAGAAATACACTTTAAAAAAATATAATAAACATTCTTAAAGTATATACAGTTTCTATATGCATTTCTACACCTATGCTTATGGGGAATGTAATTAGGAAAAGAAGAGTAATGAGGACTCACTTTCTTTCATTTCCGGTTGCTTTCTGAGGATTGATGTTGGTGAATCCTGAATGGCAAAAGTTAACACATCAGTCCAAGTAATCAGAATACTTCTAGTGCAACTTAGTAGTATTATTATTAAGATCAAAAGAACACTCAAGAATGTAAAGCTGCCATTAAAAAGTTGTTAATGATTTGGAAACAACCTGTACAGAACGTGTTGAAACAGAAGATGAAAACAAAAAGGTTTTTTCATGTTCCGTCTCAAGAAATACAAGTGAATATTAATGGAACTCATACGTGCTCCTCTCCACGGAAATCTTTAGTAAAAGGCAAAGGATTTATACTATATGCAGAGAAACAGAGTATGCTGATAAAACGGAATTAAATGTGCATCCTTTTCTGTGCCATTTTTTTTTAATTATGGAGTAACAAACATTTTTCTGTGTACTACGACTTAATTTTCTCATTCACCACACAGTGGACTGACCAGGAAAAGCGACTACCTCAAAATCAATGTAAGACACCTGAACAGCTTTACAAAGTACCAAACTGCATTTCAAACTGCTGAATCCAATACAGGGTCATGGAGGAGCAAGCAATAGGCACAAGGCAGGATACATCTTAGACAGGACACCAGTCCTTTGCAAGACATAAACACTCAGATCACAGCCAATTTTACAGAAGCCAATGAACCCACCATTATATCTTTGGACTGTGGGAGGAAATTGAAGCACCTAGCAAAAACCCAAACACTGGGAGACTATATAAGCCTCAAGCAGATAGCACCCAGGAATTAAGTCCTGACCTCCAGAGCTGCAAAGCAGCAATGCGTGATATATCTTATTACAAATCTAAACATAATAAAGGAACAGGAATATGTGTGGGAATGTTTGTTCAGTGGGTGTTCACCTGTTTTAACATGGTACTTTCTTCAGAAGGATGACAGCCATTCGAATAATGGGTATCTTGCCCATGGTAACCTGGAACAACAAAACATCTTTTCAAATCCTAAAAGAGAAGCTCTCAGAAGAAGCAGTTAATTATTTGTACAGAAAAGTACAAAAGGCAATTATATGAAACAATGGTGTAATTAAAGACTTAATGTAAGCCAATGTAAAATTGGTTAAGGACTCTAAGTTAAAATTATTCCCAATCATGCTGATCTCCAAACTTCTACTGAGGTGACAATTACAGCTGCTTCAAAATGGAAAAAAAAAGGTTTAAGCAATACAGGTTTAAAATCTCATTTAAAAAAAAATATTTTAGAATAATGCTTCCACTTTCCCATCAGCAGATGGTGCAGAAACACTGTTAATTTAATTAAATGCCACAAAACTGCATTTTTTTCAATTGCAAAAACTGCAATAACTTTGCTGAATGTACAGGATATACATAAAATTTTAATTTGTTTGTTTGAAATACACATTTCATGTATTAATATGATGGCAGATCCTGTTTACAAGGATCTGTCTCTTGTAAAAACTGGAAGATTTTCAACTTAGGTGTCCCTTGGGTTAAAGGATATCGCAATGAGCATTTGTCAAGTCAGTGACCTAGTTGTGGGAGGAAATAAATACTTAATTTTAATATTTAATACTTAAGAGGCTCAACAAATCTTTTTCGAACCCAAACTCCTGAAATCCAAAATATAAAGCACTGCTTTCACTCTAAATCTGTATGGGATCAGATCTTGGACTCTGCAACTGCCAGACAGGTCCAGCCTGCCCCTCAGAGGTGCCGTTCTGCTCTGTCTTGAGTTCAGACGCTACCACGCCTTGCAACACGTGACTGACTGTACAGATGACTAGAGCCACAAAAAGCACCGAAAAGCACTGTCAGAGAACTGTTGAGTCTTCACCACAAATGTGTGAAGAACAGGCAGGTAGAAAAGGAATGGTGTGAGATGTCTCCAGAACGTCCAGGTGGGACAAATGATGTGCAAAACCAGAGGGGAAGTAGTTCCCCCACAGCACAATCCACAGTTGTAGCTTTCACTGGCAACACAGACTGAGTGGAATTAGCATTATCACTTTTCAAGTGGCTTTTTTGACTGGTAGCCTAGTTTATCTGTATTCAAGAAATAAAATGTTAAAACCAGTACTGTGTTTGCTGAATGTAAGGATGGCTTTGAGCTGTGGTTTTAGCATATTACATTTAAATGATCACAGATCAAAGCTGCAGGGCAAACGTGTTGCATGAATGCACTGGTATGCCTACCTCTGTTAAATACTGTTATTAAATACTACATTCATCTATAACATGTAAGAAAATATATTAAATTCTTCTTCTTTTTTTCCCCTCGGTACTGAAAAGGGAGGTGTGGACACCAATGTATTAACACTGCTCAGTTGCTAAAGGTGAAACCAGATTGAACTCATTCATGAGAACACAAACACAAAAATTAATTTCTGCGTTACTGTGTAATCACACTGATTAAGTTTCCCTTTCATTTTCATACGGGTCATTCATCCAAAATCAAAGGAGGTGACCAGTTGGTTTAGATGGCTAAATCTGTACATGTCCACTTCTTAATTAGACATCTTACCCCGTAAGCGATAAAGCTCGACTTCTGGGACTTTCTTAGTGGAACCCGTCAGGCCGGCAGGTTTACTCAAGTCCCAGTTACTCTTGGCAACAAGGTTTAGCACTGCTTCGTCATCTTCATCAAGGACAGAGCGTTTTTTACAGAAGAGCCTTACAGAGGATGCCCTCTTAAGACCGGACCTGTACCAGAAGAGATATTATCAAACACTGTGCACATACAGCACACATGCAGCAAGGTTAGTGAGGCGAAGAGGTAAGTATTGCACCTCTGCACACTGGACTCTGAGGAAGATGAAGAACCATGCTGGTGTTCAAAAGCTTGCTCTGAAGTAAAATGCATGACAGCAGCTTTGCGTTCGCTGTCCCTCACAGGGTGATCATCTAGGGGAATAACAGCCCAATGCAATAGTAAAACAGAATGAGGAAAAATCAAGGCATCAAACAAAGGAGAAATCAAATCTGTCATAGATTCACAAGGCTTTTAAAAGAGAAAGGTGAATCACCACTCACATTGCAAGAAGGTTCTAAATAACTGAAATAGATTCAATTGTTAAACTTACTGTAGGTGTACAGTAACATATCTGTTATCTGCACATCTAATTTGACTATATGCTGAAGCCGTGACACTGTAAAAGTTAAACACAGTATATACGCTAGTAATTCTAAAAATGTCAACAGTTTGTAAAATAGTCTAGAAAAAGACAACAGAGTCTAACAATGGCTAATAGGATAAACACCTACAGTATTAGCCATTGTTATAGGATAAACACACAACTCTGAAAATAAATCAAGCACTGGTGATATGATATTAATTACTCTTGCAAGTGACAGTAGTGATTGGTCAAAACACTTACCCAGTTTTCTAAGGTTGGGCAACATATGAACAATGTAGAGACGATAATCTGGGTCATTTTTTGTCACAGGGTTGAGCCGGAGATCCAGCTCCTTCAATGCAGTCAGCTTCCGGAGGGTAAAGATGGCTTTCAAGGAAGGTATGCAGTTGTAATAGAGGTTAAGCTTTTCAAGCTTCTTTAAGTGTTGTATCCCCTGCAGAAAAACATGAACAAACCACGTCTTTGAAATGACCTATAAATGTCTCCTTTTCAGTGGTGAAGCAGCACATCTGAAAGTTTATTTTTCTTTCACAGCTGCGACACTGCGATTAATCTGCTGTTGGAATGTCAACATGGCAGAACACCACCAGACCCTTCCAAGAAGGAGAGTGAAAATCCACTTGGTTTGCATCTTAGAACCACAGAAACCTGTGCTAAATAGGCTCTAGGTGAGATGGAGAAGAATGGCCCTGACCTCCAGAACACAGTACAGGATTGACTGATCTGCTAACATCTCATTCGCTCATGTGAACTACAGCACTGGGGTTAGACTGGAACAGGCCACTGCAGTGTGGGCAAAAGAGCAGAGCAAAATAATATATATATAGCCTTCTAACAACCTTTCTAAACATTGCACTGTTTTTTAAGGAAGCTTACTGGAGCTGTCTTAGACACTTGTTCAGATGTATTTTATCTGCTTGTTTTGTATTAAATTCCTAGGCATCACCTAACATTACTTACTACATAGACCTACAATAACTTACACCTAACATACAGTACACTCTGGAAGCAGACACAGCTTGCAAGACTGGGGGAGGAAAGATAAGAGAACCACCTATTTCTTTGAATTTGCTGGCTTGAGTTGCTGCCCATTACGATCAGTGAGTAGTGGTTAAGGCTCTGAACTCTTGACCTGAGATTTATGTGTTCAAATCCTGGGTGGGACACAAATGTTGTATTCTTGAGCAAAGTTCTTCAGAGTTCCTCTTTCCCTACAGCAGAATCGGGACACTCAGCATACTGCTGTTTGTACTTTGAAAGCAGAAGCGTCTTGACAAAGTTGGGGCAGGTACCCTGTAAATCTTTCATTCCTGTAAAGTGATTTATACTCCAGGAAGAAGACGTATTTCATACTTCTGCTTACAGGTTTGTGATTCACACATGATGAGCAGAACACATGCCCAAAATAATTTTCTTATCTTCATACTCTACCCACTGATGCTGAGTAATTCATCTAATCATATCATCTGACTGCTATTATGTTTATAAGAAGATATTTCCTAGAAAGCAAACCAAAAATAATACTTCTAGCAAACTTTGGACAGATGCAGATTAGTCTGTGATCTGTCAAGAAATGAGCCGATTGTTCTCTAAATCTTATGATGAACTCAAGTTTATATCAACACGTAGGACCTTGATATGTCACTTAGTTACTACTTATAGCTTGACATTCAATAATGCGTAAGATTTTTGTCGTTTTTTTCAACACAATGCAGGTGGTTAAATACTTTAAGATGTACTGTAACTGCCTTTTGCACCAAAAAGGGAAAAGGGAATTTATCTCTGTAACCTGAAACAGAGATCTAGATGGGGACTTGATCTATATTCAGTTTTTAACCCACTGATCTAATGCAAATATACCCTTGTAAGTACTTAATCTGTATTCACTGGAGTTTATATTCTTCTTCCTTTTAATAAGCTGAATCAGAGGTGCCCGTTCATAGCAATGGAGGGCCAGTGTGACAGGGTTCTGTAGCTCTCCTGAAACATCTGAAGAGCCCAGCGAAGCTGTTAAATTGATTAAAATTAAGAAGCCAATAAAGAGATGATTAAGAGCCAAGATGGAGCGAAGACCTGCAGACACGAACCTCCAGGACCACGACAGGACACCCTGCACTATATTATAAAGCCATAGTTGGACAAACATTAGCTTCCATTCACCTCTATCGAGACCAGCGCATTCCGAGAAAGGTCGAGATTCTTTAAATGAACAAAGTTCTTTAGAGAGTTTCCCACATGGGCGATCTTCACGTCATAGGACCCTGGAAGAGACAGTGATCTGACATCCGCTGGAAGCAAAGAAATTCTATATTAGACTTGTGTAAGAAAAAACTTAAAAAGAAAAGCTTATATTAAAGATACAGCAATTAACTTTTCACATATCATACAATCATGGATGTCATGTAACACACCTTGACTGAACAAGAATGTAGTAGCCATTTGAAAATCTAGTTAGCTTTCTTGGACAAGGGGATGTAAAGGTTACAGTACATAAACCCAACGCACTATAAAAAGTAGTACTGCTTTTAGGAGTTGCAAAACTATGTGAGAAAGAAAATTTCCTGGGTATTTTATTTTTCTAATAGTAGTGGGGGAAGTTTATCTTTTAAAGAAAAGGAAAACACATTTGAAAGTTTTTTGGAAATATGTAATAATTGCAGTCTTTCAATAGTAACTGTGTGCTTGTGTGTGCCCAGTATACAGTATGTACTTGTGTCCTGTCCAGTCCACGGTACTGGGATGTCATGATACTGGGATCCCAGGAATATGCTTTCTAGTAATGAGTACATTGGTATAATGACTGCAGAAACAAGCTCACTTGTTACAGAAAAAGCAAACATACAGCCTAACAAAATTCTGTTAAAAGTTGCCCAAACCCAGACTCTGAGGAGCTAAACAGTAGACTTTTGAGGATCTTCATTTACCTCACATTAGATACAGACAACAAAAATAAAACATTTTTCACATTTACAGTATATACAGAACCATCACACTGCGTCAATGAGCTATTAATTTTGTAGTCCTCTCCTCGTTACCACAATAAGGTAAAATGCTTTGTTTAGTGGGTTGAAACTTCATGAAAACGGATACTTAAGATTGTATGCTGTCCTAATTAAAAAACAATACTTGTCATTTAGTACCCATTCAAAAACGATCAGGACGTTGAGCTGGGACTTGCGAAGTGTTACATGCTTTGTAGTCAAGATTATTCTTAAAAGATCATGATTTGCAAAATGCTAGAAATACATCGAGTTCAAATAGTACAGTTGTTACACATCGAGCTTTTCTACGCATGGTCTTTCTTTGAACGAAAATGCGCCTTTTCATCTGATATTCGGAACCCATCTAGATTAAACGTCTGTCCTTGCTCGTTCAGTAAAACGTTGGCTTTATAATCGACAGCAGGTTAATGGTTTGGTACCCAGACAAACTATCCTTCTACAATTTGTATGTAGGTTGAAGTCCTACGTACAGTGCTTCATTAGACTGTAGCATTAAAATGCCCAGCTACAGTATACAGTAAGTGACCCAAATCCAAATGTAAGTCACTAGGTTAAAGCGTCAGCCACACAAACTCAATATTTTCGCGAGGACAAAGTGATTTTTACTAACATCTCCTTAATGAAGAACGCCACTGTTCTTTTGTGTAAGAGAAGACAGCATCGAAACCAAGAAACGCTGCTTTATGATGCACAAGAAGAGCAAACTACACGGACCCGTACACCTGACGCACGACTGCAGACAACAAGCAATCCAACCTCTCCGAAACAACAGAATTTCGTTTCGGGGCTTGAAACTAACGTACAATTCGCAGCGCAACGCAGTAGCCTAGCAAAGGCTTGGAAAACGTTCGAGTGTGTGTTCTTCACGTTTCACTTGCGACACAGGGAGACGGTGGCGATTACCCAAGCATCTGTGCTGCAGCTGCAGCCTTTCTCGTATCCACTGCTCAGTTATCAGCAGACCGTCCGCCGCCATCCTTTCAAACGTCGGGGGGTTCACCGGGGCGAGCATGCGCGTTGCACCCTGACGGAAGGAGCCACTGTTTAGCTGCAGCAGCTCCACTTATCCCACTGAAAAGACTGACGTCTAGAAAAAGCAGTTTTGTGTCAGCGAGATTATTGTTGTTTAATAGTGGTGAAGATGCACACAATAACTCTGAGAACCTCGTAATTGGTTACAGAAAAGCAAGTACATCGAAATAAAACAAAATCAGATCTTGCTGTTGCTGCTGCCACTTCATATGGATACTCATTTCATATCAGAAAATATTGGAATATTAACAAACGCCTGAAGAATAACCTTTTAATTATGAGCTGACATAAACATAGTTTATTCAGCATGGAAAGTGAACACTATATTGAATAATAAAAAAGGACACGCTTACTTTTTGAAATAACCTGTTTTTCCCGGCCGGCTTTTCACTCAGGTCATCTGGCGTCCGAACACCTTTGTTCTTAACCGACTTAAGTTGGAGCGCGAAAATGTTATGTCATGGCGGTATCTTCTTCCCATCTGATAAATGTGAGAAGCGTGCAATGGTTATACGCGTGTAAAAGTAAATATGCACACAATATTTTAAAACAATGATGACATTAACTTATTTAAAATGCGTCAGTCCATCTAGTTTTCTGGGCTTCTCGAAGTTCGAATTTAAATGCAATAACGAAATGGATGGCTGTATTTAGTTTACATGAAACCACAATTTAGGAGCTATGGAAATGTTGTTTCAAGACTGTTTTTCTCACTTCAGAGATTGCTGCCAGTAATTTCCCAGAACAAAAAAGGAAGAGGTATTTAGATAATTTAACTTTCTAGCACTCAGTGTTCTATATCTCAAACATAGCAGGTCTAATATATTTCTTTCTGGGCTGCATTTACATTGTTTCATTCCCATTCAAAGCTCTATAAATAGATTGTTGTTAGATAATGTTTAATATCCACAGTAAAATGGACATTTGTGTCTGAAAACAATTAGTCTAATTGATGCAATGGGCACACTAGATGCTCTGTAGTTTCTGAAAAAGAAGAGTACTTTGCACTCAAAATGGGACAATTAGATTAATGTACAAATATTCCTCTTTTTAAAGCATTTCTCTTAACATGGAGCACTAACAATCTACAGATATTCATATTCAGTTTATTAGTTTACTATGGCACATTACAATCGATTTTAAAAGATCAGGAGCTTCTGAAACTAAAATGGTATTTCCTCTCCAAAAAACTTTTCAACGTATAGAATCACCTTACTGCATCACTGACAGCTGTACTCTCCTCTGCGGAAGCCCTGTCATTCAAGAAATCCTGGTTATATCCAATTATATGATATTTAACTGACACAACTCATAAGGCAGGTTTAACAATGAGGCAAAGAACCCCAACAATGGGTAACAGGGAATGTTTTTTAGTTCAGCACTTAGTAAACAATTGTCAAATTATTATTGAATTATTCTTGCTTCGATCAATAAGAAAGTTAAGCAAAGAAGAGCTTGTTAATAATTACAACTTCAAGTGAAGAAATTCCATTCCTGTTATTGTTTAAAATAACTTTGTTAAAGATAAATAAACTCAGTGTACTCAGATAAAATTGATTAAATATTAGGGAAATTCATTACAAAGCAGCATGGACAATTCAATCTCAGATATGTTAGAAAGGATCAGGAAATTGGAATGAAATTTCTGATATCTGATTTTTTTTTGCTTTTTGGTTGATCATTTACAGTGACTCTTCATTAATAAAGCACACCATGCTTGTGTTTCCTTCTTTCATCAATACTGTTCTTCAGACAATGGTTAATGTGCCTGCATACTCTCACATCTCTTTTTATTTTCAAGAGACCTCTTGATTGGACCTATCCCAAGAATCGAGAATGAACTTTGAAGACACAACACTACACTCTAAAGAAATACAGTTCAATTTTACTTTGATTAAGGTGCAGTTTGTAAAGTTGGAGTCTTCCTTATTACTTTGGAAATCATCTTGTAACATTTGAACTATGTTGGCTGTAAGATATCACAGTGAATTACAGTGTCCATCTGTACAGTTACTGACGGGTTTAACATCAGACAATGAGCTGCAGTTCTTATGTCTCATTTGCTTTTAAGCTAAAGAACATGGAATTCGTTAGTGTGTATTTCAGAACTAAATGTACATCTAAGATACCAGTCTTTCTGTAGTCAAGACTCTGTTGAATATGCACTCATAATAGGACATCACATTTGCTAAATTATCCTTTTACCAAGATTTAAGGACTAAAAGACTCAAGTACCCTTATTATTCTATTTACAATAAAGTCGAAAAGAGAGTTTGTCCTGTGGCCTGAATGACAGTGTTCTTACTCCAAGATGGTGTCACCTTGCTTTAAGTATTTGTCACTGCAGTTTGTATATTGTGTTTTCTTTTTTGTTAAGTATTCAAATTTGTTACCATGAGAGCTGCACGAGGCACCCTTTGTGATTGAGCTCCTGTTTCCTGTATACTTTGGGTTGCCACAGCCCTTACCAAGAATTAGTGGCTTTGTGATGATGGATAGAGTTGTCTCCATTGCAGGGATCATGTGTCTTGACATTAAATTCCAGCTAACATTACTTGTACTGTAATTGCAGATTCATAAGGAGTTTCACATGACACCGATTCTTATTTTACTTTTAGGCACTTACTGTACAGTAGGTAACCTTATTGTTTTAATGTTTTCTCATGGAATATCCTCAGGTCATTGTTAAAGGTTAAGTCTGCCCACTTACTGGAAGATCTATAAGCTCTCTCTGTAATCTTTGCATGATGCTTGGTGGTTTTGTTTCAACACTGTTCTGGCAATTTTCACCTTATGCCAGATCCGCTGAGTAATAACCAAACTGTTGGAAAGGCACTGTATTTTGAAGTTCTTCAATTGTAAATGTCTCTGTTCTCAGCATTCACAACCTGCATCCTCAAATTGATCAACGTAATCCCAAGATGTCAAGTTTAATTAAGGAAAATAATGCTAGATTATTAATTGACATACTTCTAACTGAAGAAAGAAGCAAGTACTGTAAGTCAGCAACTATTGAAAGAAGTTTACTATTAACATTTAACTGTAGGTATTTATTTCAAATGACAGGAAATATTTTTCTCCTCAGCATTGAACATTCCTAAACTAAACATGGTAACGAAAAAGTAAAGATTCTGAAAATGTGTTTCTTTTTCCAAAATGTTAAAATATAAAACCTGCTCTGTGAAAGGCTTTCTACTGATGTGGTTGTCTTGAGTGGTCTTGAACACGGGAAATCTTGCTCACTCTTATAGCTCCGGTCACTTGTTCATCGCAGACGTCTCACAATACACTTCACAAAGCATTGTAGTGCATCTCTTTTTTCAAAAAGGCTGCACCAAGAAGGTTTTAAGTAATGTGCTCTTCTGAAATGTGTATTTAGTCTTTGTGTCATTTCACTTACTATTTTCACAATGGTTGGAAAGGTTTGTGCTGAGTGTTGGGTCAAAACCCAGAACTGGTATTCTAAAAGAGCCATTTTCACAGGATTGAGTAAAAATCAAAGTCTATATTTATGTGTTCAGTTTATTTTTGTTCACTAAACCTTCAAAACCCCCATGATTGCCCAACCCAGGTTTATGATTAAAGACAATTAATGACGTTCCTGAAAGAAAATCTTGAAAAACATATTTCTCCAAGTCACTTGCTGTAATATGATCCGTCTTATAAATTTTGTACTTCCGTCATTCTGGGACATAGCCTGTAGGTGAGTCTGTGACATTTAGAATCATAATATATCATGGTTAACCAGAAGTTGCCCTTTTGAAATCTGTGTGAAGGAAACCGGTGAAAGACAGTTCCCTTTTATTAGGTGCATAGCAGGAGGTCTTGAGTTGAGGGTGACTGAGATCACTCTGATGGCTGGCTTGTGGTCGGGTGTTCAGAAGTCCAAATCAGGAAGGTATATCCCTCAAAAGTAACTTCCGGGATATTTCCTCAAAGGCACAAATATAGACTAAATCTCTTAGATAAAATAGAAAACATACTCTTCAATTGTCCCAATCAAACAAGGTTGAGTCTCAGTAAATATAGGTTAGTTTGGGTGAGAATAGGTAATTAGCAGTCTATGACTCACATACTGTAGAACAACGTCTTAAAAAACGCTATCACAGCAAATCAAGGTAAATTGTATATGAATGTGTATATTGTATGTGCCCTTTATCATTAACTTGATTTGTTCCTCTCTATGCTTCCATGAATCTAAAATTCTGTTTTTATACAACAAAACACATATTTGCTGTATAAGGATTATTTATTATCAGAAAACACAATAGTTATCACTTCATTAAAATACTTCCATAGTCTTACCTCTAAGGAAAAACACTAAGTATGAAGAGTAAAACATCAAAACTTCTAAGACATTTACACAGCAGTGCATGTCCAACATTGTTCTCACATTTACAGTATGTACTGTATGTTTCAGTTCCATCCTCATGCTCTAAATGTACAGTATGGTGGGTGCCCTCTCCTTTTTTGCTGAGTCATATTTTGTTAATTTTGTCTTCTAGTATTTAAAAGATATTAACAGGATCTTAATTGGATAGATTCCATTGCAATCAAACCAGCACAGTGCACAACGATCATTTATAGGCCATTGTTACATGTGAAATGGAATGAACTGTTCTCTTTCTAGATCAGACAGTATGATTTTCTCAATCATTCTCTGCTGAAAGACTGTGTCCTAGAAAAATACTTTTGTCAGTGGATCTTGGAAATAGGTGTCAATCGGCAAAACCCCCCAGTGACTTCTGGGAAAAGTCTATTTTACACCAGTGTCCGGCCAAGGATGGGACACCATGAATCTACAGTAAGTGCCTCCCTACATCTTCGTAATGATACCCACTTTTAATGCACAATATGACACATAGGGAGGTAAACATGATATCTTTTGGAAAATAATTATTTCCTTATAGCATTCATGAGTCAATTGCATTTATACCACTTATACTGCAGCTGTATGCGAAATATATTGATTGTGATATTTAAATATGCTAATTACAAAGCAAAGTTTTATGGAAAAAGACAGGAAGAAGACATGACTGCAAAGAGTGTTTTCGCTATTTTACTTTATTATGGTGCTTGAAGTACAGTCTGAGGAGTAGGAGAAACCAAAAGTATTTGTACCAGGGCCCACGATCGTCAACCTCTGTCACTGGGTGCAATCTCTCTTCTGTACCATCTATTATGCTGTGTGTTGGATAGGGGTTTTAACAACACAATACAGTGCAATCCAAAAAGGAGTGTTCTGTTACATGAACTTGAACTTGAACTTGAATGAGGACTTGAACTTGAATGCAGGAATGAGGAAGGAGAAACAAGCCATCTTTACTGAACCAGCACCTATTGTATAAACTTCCCCATCCTGTATTAATTCCTTGTTTTCCTATGAATTGTTTTCTCCAATTTGCCAAGGGAAAGCATCCTTCCTAATTCTTTCATTCAGTATGTCAAGGTCTA